TCTCTCTCTCTCTCTCTCTCTCTCTCTCTCTCTCTCTCTCTCTCTCTCTCTCTCTCTCTCTCTCTCTCTCTCTCTCTCTCTCTCTCTCTCTCTCTCTCTCTCTCTCTCTCTCTCTCTCTCTCTCTCTCTCTCTCTCTCTCTCTCTCTCTCTCTCTCTCTCTCTCTCTCTCTCTCTCTCTCTCTCTCTCTCTCTCTCTCTCTCTCTCTCTCTCTCTCTCTCTCTCTCTCTCTCTCTCTCTCTCTCTCTCTCTCTCTCTCTCTCTCTCTCTCTCTCTCTCTCTCTCTCTCTCTCTCTCTCTCTCTCTCTCTCTCTCTCTCTCTCTCTTTCTCTCACTCTCACTCGGAACTTTAACTCGATCTCTCAGCCTTCGAACAATTTCCACCGAGATGCTCCTTCATTTTCAGAGAAAGCAACAATTACCTTTCCTCGTCACCGTTCGCCTATTTCCGCTCCATATTTTTCTCTCTTTTTCCGTAATTACCGTCTCGTTCGGCATTTCCGAGCTCCTTTCCTTCCTTCTTCCACGTTCGATAGGTTCCTGTAATCGTACGCGTTCGCGCTATATCCGAAATTCCGCCGTTCCCGGACAACGGAGATACCGTGGTCGGGACCGACGCGAGGTCGAGCGTCTGAAAAAAGCGTCGGATTAAGATATCCTCGGATTCGATGTCGCGTCTCCTTTATTCGTTGACCTACTGTCGTAACAGATCCGATAGAAACGTAATTCTAATTGCTTGGGATCGTGTTCGCGAAAGACGTTCGTATCTCCTGTCTGCCACCTTCCCCCTCCGCCGCTTGCCCTGCTCGTACGATGCTCAATCGCTTCGTTCGTTGAACGTAAGGGATCGTCCGTTTTCGAGGACTGATCGTATCTCGATAAATGGCTGCGTTTCCAAGATGCGACGCAATCGTGCGTTCGTTTAAACGACGATCGTCTGATACGTATCTTTGTCGGAGAGAGTAACATCGATATTTATGGAATTGAGAAGATCGTCAACGTCTAAGGACGTATCGCCGTAGATGCAACCGTGATGTTCGAAATATATCTGTGGACGATGCAGCATTGAAGGCGCAAAGCGCATGTACCGCGTTAGCATCCAGAGCGACCACGTTTTCTTGCGCACGGATATACGCATACACGAGAAGGCGTATCCTACCAAGGACGTTTCGCAGCAGATCCTTCTCTCTCCCTCGCCCTTCTCCGCTGTCCCCCTCTCTCTCGTACTTATTCGCTCTCCCTGTTTGAAAGTTAGGTCGGCAGTATTACCGCGCATGACCACGGACGAAGGGAAATATTCGCGAATCGATAATTCGCGAGCAGCTGCAGCAACAGCAACGGGTTAGTCACGCGAACGACTAGCCCGTTCGATTATTACTGGAGCAATTCGCGTTGTGGTGGTAATCTCTAAATTATACATTGTTGTATATCCTTCGCGATATAGCACGGTCGTAGGTTAAGTCAACCGTCAAAGTCTATACGATCGAGACACCGGTACGAACGAACGAAATTTCAGAAAGTTGGAGAGATAAGAGCCGGACTACTTAGAGTCTCACGAGTGTACCAACTCATCTATGGTTTGCCATCGGTATTTTACGCTTTAATTTAGAATCATACCGGCTACGGTAGAGAATTTATCGGTCTCGTAGAATTTGCACGTGCATCGTGTCACATTGTCGTACGCCAAGAGCATTCTCAATCTTAAGATGATTTTCGTTCAAGTATATCCTAAAATTTGTACGTCGTTTCCTGCGCGCATGAAAATTTTTACTTGTCCTTCGTGTCCTGACGATAGCGGAAAGATAGCGATAGCGATAGAAAATCCTTGCAAATGTTTACGATAGCCAGATAGCCATCGGAAATAAAAACTTCAAAAACGTGATCACGCAACGCTGATAAATACCTCGCAGAATAGACTCCGGCATTTTAGTGCTCATGAAAACGTGCGGTTATCTATATTCTTTCGAGCTAACTTCGATCGCAATGACATCTGATCATTGGCAAGGAATACGTATGTACACGCTTAAATATACACGCGGTACGATCATCATTGATCTCGTATCTTGATCCGCTCGTATCACGTGCACTAATTATCGCAATATCATTTCCTTTGTCTAATATCGTGAGTTGAATTTTAAAAAGTATATTCTTTGAATATTCAGATTTGTATCTTCAATTCTTTTTCCACCACTTTCCTTCCTCCGACAACACTTAGCATGTCGATCCGGTGTCAGTTACGGACATTAAACGCTATTAACAGATAGAACGTATAAAAACACGACGCAGGTAAACGTAAGGTCAAGTTGTTAGAATTCGTTTTCTTTATCTTCTTCGATCCTCGCGCAACGGCAAAATTCTATTTTTATAAATCGCCTCGAGAACGAAGATTTATCGATTGCGATAAGATAGAACACTCGGCAAAAATTACTTGTTCCATAATAATTTTGTATCCGTACTAAATCATTAATTTTCATTCATCGCGTTAAACATTATGTAACAGCTATAATATCTTCCTTGAATATGCGGATGCGATTACAGCGATGAATCGTCGACAAATTGCGTCGCGTTACAAACGTTATCTAACAATACATACAGATTTTTGTAACACGTTCTGAATGATATACCAATGGTTGCGATACGAGGAAATTGATAGAAACGTTCGATTACTTAATTTTCGGTCGCTAATGTGACACATCCATATCGTCGAGAAACTGTTTTGAAATAACTAGAAAAAAAAAAAAAAAAAATTACAATTACGTGTGTACGTGTCGGAATCTGACTGGTTATTAGCATCGGACGTGCTCGATTTTGTGATCACCGCATATGAAAAAGCAGCAAGAGGTAGAAAAAGGGATGTCGAAAGGTATGGGTAACAGAAGAGGAAAGATCAAGAGGATGAATAAGAAAGATTCAGAGGTGGAGGAAGAAATCGGGGTTGCTGCGATAGCGAAGGTGGAGAGGATGAAGCTATTCGGAAGGTTGAAGAGGCCGAAGCTACGAAGAACAGAGCACGATCTTTCCTCGTCATCGTGACCGTCTCTGGCCGATTTTCTAACAAGGAGGCCAATTCAAATGGCATTGTGTCGTCACGTGCGACCACTCGCTCTTTCTCAACAGAACGCTGTTAGAACCTCTTCCCCCTGTACAACCGCAAAACTTTCCTACATTATCACCTCTCTGTACCTACCTTCTTCTTCTCCTCCTCCTACTCCACCACCACCATCCTCTTTCCTATTCTAGTCATTTTAGTCTCCCACCTCTTCTTTATTCTCTTGTATCAAAACAATCTTCCATGAAATTATACACACTTTGTTTCCTTTTTTCGCGAAATGCAATTTCCTACTCTTTTCCTTATTTTATGTCGGACCTAAAATTTATCGGACAACAGTAACATGTTTCCATACGAACAATTAACACAATGAACCAGTATGTATTTTGAATGTACTATGAAACACGATTCCTCCCTCTATTTATTTAAATAAATTACTTTATCTCGATAGCGATAGAAAAACTACATACAGTAGAACACAAAATATAAATATCTTTTTATTTTTATCCGAATAATACATCTAGCGTTAAACAATAAGACGATAGCAAGCCCAATCTTTCGATTTAGACGTCATAATGATCAAGTAAAAATTCATTCTTTGATATTGTAAAATATACATATATATATACATACATACATACACACACATACATACACACATATATACATACATACATGCATGCAACATACATACATACATACATACATACATACATACATACATACATACATACATACATACATACATACATACATACATACATACATACATACATACATACATACATACATACATACATACATACATACATACATACATACATACATACATACATACATACCACAATACATACATACATACATACATACATACATACATACATACATACATACATACATACATACATACATACATACATACATACATACATACATACGAGCGCGCGCACGGATAATAAGTTCACACATACCGGCTATTTACACAATTTTATACAACTTTCCTTTCTCCCGAAGGCTTTATTTAAACACCAATCGAATCACAGTAATCATTTCCTAATTTCCGTAATTCCGTAATCGTATTTTCTTTAGATAATATGCTTTTCTAATATCGGTACGCAGTTTAATTTCAGATAATTTTATCACGTTATTAGGAAATGGCTGAAAGCTCCTCTTTCTATCTGTCTATATATATATATATATATATATAAAAAAGTTTACAGAACCTATACAGAAAACGTCATGTCAAACACATTCAATTACATTTTATTACGTCATTTTAGAAAAAGATATTACAGATGTACCAGTACTCTCTATCAAAGGTGTTTAACAAAATTCAATTTGATTAACATAGCAACTAACATCCCAAATATTTCTTATTAGAATTTTATTGTATTTAGTTATATCTTATATGTTCTGCACATTGAAGAAAATTCTATTTTTGGTCTCTTAACCTATATATGTATATATATATATATATATATATATATATATGTATGTATATACAATAACAAATAATATTTACAAACTCATGTTGCGCATCATATCATTAAAAAATATTTTTTCTCTCATTATATGTATATATGTATATCGCCAATAATCATCATTTAATGTTTATAAAATAACTAAAAATATATCTATTCGTCTATCAAAGAAAATTATGTATATATCATGGTAACTGACAAAGAAAATGATAAATGTAGATATATTAATCGATAGCTGAGTGCAAAGATAAAATATCTAGGCCATAATTGTAAATATAAAACTGTAAATAAACATTAGTAATTTTAACGATGTTGATCAAAACTTTGAATAAAATAAGTGAATATTTCAAGTGGACTGATTATAATAATTTTGGGTAAACTGTTTCTATACGAATATTTTTTAAACGACTAACAGATATATCTGAAAGATTAAATTACATAGACATATGCCTAAAAAAATAATTTGCAGTCTTAACGCTATTAAACTATTTTCATATATTTAAAATGAGTTTTAGTTAAAACAAGTTAATAGGGTAACAATTATTCTTACTATTAAAACAATGGCAGATCGTTTTGAAGAAGAAATTTTCTCTTACCTTGATATAAAATACACGATGTAGAAAAAATGGTTGATGAACGATGAGAATGTTAGACAAATGAAATAAGTTTACAGAACATGCACGTTAATGCAAACCATTTAGTTGACCGAGTTACAAGTGGAGATAATTTCAGTTCTTTTAAATAAAAGGTAAAGTTCTTGAAGCATTCAAAATTTTCCATTTTTTCATAGTTACGATTATTTTAGTGATCTATATCAAATTTTGTAACACCTTAAAAGAACATACCAATTTTATCCAAGACATAGACATGTGATAAAAGAATAGATGCAATCGAACTTTATACGTGAATATCGGTCTCTTCATAATCAGTGTCAGTAATATTTGTAGCTTCATTTTCAATTGGTACAACAGATCCAATTTCACAAATTTGCGAATTCGCTACGGGTCGTCTATTGCGATTTATTATTTGAGCAACAGGGGCTGGCAACCCTTCAGCATCCGTATATAAATTCACCGTGTGTGGTTTAGTACTGCTCACAGAACACTCTAAGTCCGGCAACTCACCTAATTAAATGATTAAAGTTGCTATTTTCTTTTTTTCACTACTTTGTTTATTAACCCTCACAGTGCTAGGGAACACTATAACCATATAACAAACTATGTAGGTACTAATGAATAACGAATCATGTTAAGCTGCAATGGGAGGATTAATAAAAACCACATTTAAATGATGTATAAAAATAATTTTTACCATTGATGCTATGAATGTCAAACGCTCTGAAAACCGTTCCACTAGATGGTTCTCCAGCACTTATACTAGATTCATCATCTGGAGTATCAAACAATTCTTCAGAATCAGAACTACTGCTTGAATGGATCATATCGCGCTGCCTTGTTTCCGGCCTTCTGGCACGACTAAAAGGATTCTCCCTCTGTCGTGAAAATGTTCCACCTTGAGTTCCTAATAAAATATTTCCAATTTAATAGAATATAACTTATCATACGATACAAGTAATTCTGTAATTGAATTTTTTGATATGGAAAAATAAAGATTTTTTTCATACCTTGATGACCTTCACGAATCAAAGGTGTCGTGTCATCGGCATCCGAATCACTTTCGTCAGTAACAACTTGCTCATCCGCCGCAAAAACTTTTCGTTTACAAACAGGACAAACCCTACGATTTTTTGTCAGCCACGGGTCAATACATTTTGTATGATAAGCTGGAAATAAATGATACGTTATTATTCAAGATACAAATAATATTAACTATAAAACATTTCATGTACTAAACAACGTGTTTAACTGCACTAAACACATACTAACCATGTGCACAAGGCAAAACTCTTAATTTTTCACCTTCTGCGTAATCATCTAAACAGATGGCACATGTTTCATATGGATCGCCTTTCGTATATTTATGCGTAGGAATCTTTTTCAAACTTGAATTAGGTAACCTATGCCTTCGTTGCCTTCTTCTATCTTTAATACATCTAACAATCTGTAATTTACAAGAAAATGTTTTAAATATAGTTATTTGCTGAAAACACTTACCACAATAATTTAGACATTGTTTAATATATGATATGCTTAGGATATGCTCACCATAAAGATAACCATGACTAGAAAACATATCCCAACAACAATAGCAAAAGGTAAGAGCAAGTGTGTTATATTAAATGGAGTATCATCATTAATTAGTACAAAATACAATTCATCGTATAAATAATTTTCCTTAATAATCAATCCTGTGATCTCGCTAACAAATACAGATGGTATTAATATTCCTACAGGATCTCTAGCTTGCATTGGTTCTGTAACAAAGTATATATTTATAATTTCCCTCTCTCAATACCGGAATATTATTATACAAATATTTCCAATGATGATTATTATATATGTATATTCTTTATAATAAAAATAATTACCTAATTTGTTGCTGTTCACATTATGTATAATTACAGCGTCATATCCTGCTTTCTGTGCCATTCGTATTTTTCTTTCAAAACTACAGTTATAGCGAGCAATTAAAATTACCCAATTACCATTATAATTAGTAGTATTGGGAGGGCCCTGTATTTCATGACACGCTGTAGGTGGTTCTGCATACACAACCATCCCCTAACAAAAAGTTTCCCGTAAATCAAAGTATTTATTTCATTTCTAATTTCTATTTGTTTATTATTTTATTTTTTTATAAACTATCAAAACTATTAACATAATGATATCCCTTAGATAATATTTTATATTTTATACATATCTGTATAAATACTGCAATATTTTTTCCAATGTGTATAACATAACAGGAAAGATCATAGAAGCATCATATATGATTGTATGTTAAAATACCTTAATCCCTTCAGATGGTATTAAACCTCCAAATCTTGCAGGTATGTCTCTAAATTCTTCTTCAATTTGATGCCTTGCAGCTGCAGAAAATACTAAAATATCTGCTCTGCTGCACATCACACAAAAGACAAGAAATGTAAGCCACAACTGAAGTTGGTGGCTTAAGCAACACTGTTTCATCTTTTAAAGTATCAGAAGTGTGTATCCACTATCTTGTTAATTTTAATACTCTATGAAGAATTTGATTAAGGACTTCATTATATATTGTATTTAATCCCAAGATACTAATGTATCCATCGCAATGAACAAAATAACGCTAGCCTGCCAAAATGATTATAATAGTTTCAGACTGTTTATTTACATTGTTGTTTACTTTTTATTTATGTATCTTACATATCATCATAAAATTGCAATTAATAAATTATACAATTTTATAATTTTTACAGTGAAGCTTGTGAACTTGTATTCAAATATTTCGATTAAAAACAACATTAGTTTTCAATGTGAATCTTTTTTCCCAATGCATATTTCTTAGCGATAAGTCACATATTTTATAGTAATGAAGACCTTTTATCTTTAAAAGGATTGATTATTAGTAGATTTACTAGTAGATATGCTAAATATTGTTATATCATTAAGTAATAATTAGCTTTCCGTGCAATAACAAAGAAGTTAATTCGCATTTCGTGGAGTAATTTTCATTTATTTCACGTAATTAATGAGCGAAATTAAGGAATCAGACACATACAAAGTACCTAATATTGTGTGAATTATAACGTTCCCTTCTAACAATATATGTATGTTGTAAACGATTAATTATTGATTAATTACTAAATAAACGACCCGTAAGCAGAAAATATAAATGTTATTCTTTTGCTGGTATGAGAAAAAAGATTGTGCATTTAATGTGCGACGCACATCCGTAATTTCGATGTAATATATCGAGGAACGGTTAGCATGATCATAGGATATAATAATTGAATTTCTCCAAGTTATACTGGATACAGTAAAATACTAGATATAATAATTCATATGAATAAAAACAATATACACAAGTAAATAGATACGTGACAAACGGTGAGATACATATGTATGAAAATTTAACCCTATAATTTTTCTTGCTAGTAGAACGCTCAAATACAAATACATAGATAATTTCGATACATACTAGTATTCCTCTATTTTTTTCATCCAGGAAACTGCGTTATGTACGGCACGCAGGGAACGTTCAATCGGTTCGTAAAGTGCACGTACATGCAAACCATCCATTCACAGATGTAATATCGTAGATATTATGGGTATGCAATAAGATACATATCGTTTACACATCGCATTTCATTTGCACCTTCCTAAATCTTTCTTCCAAAAATTTGAGGTTATAAGGATATCGTAAAACGTCGTGAATATTGTTCACTGATAAAAACGTAAAATCTTTACGACGACATTAGGTCGACTGCGACGTTGATTAATCTATTGAGTAAAATTTGTAAGCAAATGTCAAAGGCCCAGCTCTGTAAACGAATTGCTCATTCGTGCTTATTCATAATTACTTCAATAAAAGCGATTCGACCAGTCGCATGTACATAACACAAAAACCATCTATACAATTTCTCTATTTAAAAAAAGAAGAAACTGTACGTAACTTGATCACTGGAGTGGAGTCACGCGGATGTCATACAGATACATACATATACTTTTTCCTCTATTTTCTTGTGGAACTATCTGATAGAGCCATGACGAACATATTCATCGCTGTGTTTGCCTGTGTACATGTCCACGCGTTGCAAGCGCTAAATTTAAATTCAATTAAATGTCAGCTTATAACACATCGATTTTTATGTCATACGATTAATATTCTTTATAAAACTAACCTACAGATTAAATTTTTACTTATTTAAACTTCCGATTCGTTATTTTCATATCCTAATCATTAAAGGAATGCTAATATTTATTTGAGATATTTTATTCTCTAATCTAATCTAAAGTATGTATGTAGTACTCAATTAAATTTGTTATTCTTATAATCAATTATAAAACTGATGTTAATATTTTTAATATTATTTTTATTTTAGTTCATTAAACAAATTAAACATATGACATGATTTTCGTAAAAAGTATATTTAAAGTATACATACTTACAATTAATATAATTAGTACAATTACAACTGTTTACATTAGATAAAACATCTATAACGCCAGTGTACTTAAATAATCACAGAAAAGACTGATTACTCAGTAAAATCAAACAAGGGAAGATACTTTTCTGTTTTCGGATGTAAAATTTATGTCTATGTATTTATAATCTCGTACTTTTCTAAGTTAATTAGTAGCACATGTGCACATCACAAGTGTGAAGAACGATCATTTACAAAATATATGATTCAACAAGTGTAATACATAGCAAAACTGAAATTCGACTTTATCATTTATAAAGACAATTAAAAAATCATTATTTATATGTAATCTGGTTTTTTAATACTTAAGGAATAATTAATTGAATTTACATCATAGTATATAACATATTTTGCCTGAGTGACTTCGAAAAGACTATATTTTTACTATTTCAGCATAATTATCATCATTTATAAAAAAAGTGATTAACTATTACAATGGTAATATACTGGATATATTAAAAAGAAAGGTCATTATGGAAAATCAGAAATTTCGGCTTGTATCGAAGTGTTATTCCATTATAAATAAAAATGTGTGTATATATATACACATATATACATACACATACATATATATAAGGTGAAGGCACTCATCAGCAAAATCGCTTATACTGAAACAAATTACAAATTTATACATTGCACCAAGTTCGTTATTTTCTATCAGATTTTAATAATGAAGTGAAACATTACTCTGATTTCATTAAAACTTTCCACGAGAAAATCTTTCATCCAAACGTTGTGCTTTATTAATGATAGCATTCTTCTGAGCTTGATCAAATCGATTAACTTGTAAGTCAATATCCCTGTCAAATGGTCTTCTAAGTACCTGCTCAGTTGATCTTGCCTTTTTCTCTTCTTTCTAAAATTTATATTTTATTTACTGAAGTTTCATTTATCGAGATATCAAAATATCTGAAAACAAAGTATGTAATAAACGTATACCCGTTTTTTTTCCTGAAGCTGGTTTTGATGTATTTCTAAAAGTGACTTTTCACATTTCTTATTTTTCCGACATTCAGTTTCATCACTTTCATCAAATAACTCTCGTATTGATGTTTGAACATTGTACAGTTTTTCTTCTTCCTAAAATAATAAAATATTGACAACTTTACTGTATTGAAATAATTCTCTACTCTACTAAATATTATATCGTATTTACTCGTTGTTTCCGTTTCTCAGCTTTCTTTGCTGGAGTATCTGTCCAACACGACCTATCAGACATATCTGGACCTGCTTTCATTCGAAATTTTCGTGCTGTTAATCCTAGATTATTGATCTGAGTCGGAGGTAACTCGATCATCCATTCTTCCCGTTGATTCACCATACTATAATCCTAAAATGTTATTTATTATATTGTTGTCTTTGAATATTGTAAATATCGAAATATGATTTATTTTACCTCGTCCTTTTGTTCACTTTTAATTAGCTGCGCTCTTTGTTCCAATTGTCTATGTACATAGTTACTCTCTAACGCTGGATGATTAACCGGCAATGGACCTATGCCGTCTTCGTCTTCAGATTCTATTTGATCTACTTCATTATTATTAAACGACTCTATGGTATTTGGAAGAGTAGGGCCTATGGTTTTTGTATTTGTTTCATCATTACATTTCTGCTTTAATAAATGTGGTGGTAATACTGGACCAAAGACAACATCCGAATCGTTTTGCATTATATTATCTCGATTAATACTATTTAGTGTGTTTTTTTCAATTCTTTCATTTATATTCTGTGCATCATATTTTGGTAAACAAGGTCCTATAAAATGTATATCTGTATTTGATTCCATACTAGTGGGGGAATTAGTTATTAACTGCGGCGGCAAAGCCGGTCCATATGTCGTAGATTTCTCAGCATACATATGAGATGAATGGACATCTGTTACTTTTACAGAGTCGTAATTATTAAGATGCAAGGAAGTTTGCTCAGTAAAATTCAAATTTTCTTCCTTACTATTTAAATCAACTGTATCATTCCTTGATTCCGTCAGTATAGGCGACGTAGTACCTAATGAGGAATCTGAAATGGCACCAGAATTATTATTGCTGGAACCATACAACATATCATTCTTCCTTGCATTTACCTTTTGCGATCCTTCCATGGATTCGATTCGTATCACGTGCTTTTTCGGTGAATTATCATATTCATTGCTCAAATTTCTTTTTTTCGACTTCTTATTATGTTGTCGTGATAGTGAGTTCCTGTTTCTTATTTCCGAACTATCAGACATATTTTCATCCGTTTCCGACAGGATATCAAATTCAGATAAATTTAATTCCTCCTTATATCCTTGACTCTCCACTGAAAAATCTCTTTTCATTAGTGATTCATTACCGCTATGACCCTGCCCTATATTTTTGGGTGAGGAGTATTCTTCTAAGCGTTGCCTTTCATCTTCTTTTGCCTGCATCCTTTTATGTATATATCTTTCAGACTCTTCTCGAAACTTACCGTGATCTTCAGATCTTACTTTATATGATTGATAACTTTTATCACGACTTTTATCGCAAATATGATGCTTATACTTTTCGTTAGATTTACTTCTATGCTTGTCATTTTGAGATCTATCATTTTCATTTCTGCTACGACATCGTTCTTGAGATCTGTCGCTTCGATGTTCGTTTCGATCTCGATTTTTGTGTCGTTTTGGGTCTTTTGTTTTATGCTTTGAGGATAACGAAGTACTTTTAGTATCCGAACTGACATCTCTTACACTTTTATAATCTTTATTATCTTCGCGTCTTGAGTTTCTTGACTCGACAGAATGTTTTGTGTATTTAGTAGAATATTTGAGGTCTTTATTATCAATATTTAATTCTTTTGAAAATCTATGTTCTCTATTACAATCATGTTTAGATTTGTCTTTTTTGTCCTTGTATTCTATATCACTATAGCAAAATTCCTGTTCTGACTTTCCCGATTTTACATCTACTTGCACATTATCTTTACGGGTGGCTTCAAAACGAAATCGTCGTCCTTCATCACTGTCCTGACTCTCCGAGTCAGAATCCATCGTAGTCATAATTAGTTACTTGCTGAAAGTAGCAGAAATTTAATTTTTTACATGTACATAAAAGAAATACACATATATTTTTAATATAAACAGATAACTCCATATACATATATATGTAACAGAGATTAATTTTAATTCTTAACTCTTAATTATTCTAACTAGCCCATAAAAATATTTCATGACACGACTATACATTATGTGAACGATAATACCCAGGAAAAATAATTACAATTTAACTAGATGAGAACTTTATTTCAAATACATTCGTATGAAACATAGTACATATGACAGAATTAAAGTATGAGTAAAATAAATGTAATTACTACTCCATGCGCTTGGCTGTTTCCTTTGATTGTGCTTGGTTCTTCACACCTTCCACTATGCTTTTGACTTTACTTTGATTTGACTCTAGTTTTGAAAGGGATGTTATCTGTGAATTTGTTTGTAACATCTTCATTACTTTTGCTACACTGTACTGAACAGATTTCATAAATCCAGCAGTTATAATCCCTTTTAAACTTTGGGTAACACTGGATCTCCATACAATTTCTTTCAAGCATTCCTCTAATATTTCACCACAATCAGGATCATAAGCAATTGCTCGTAAACAATCTTCAGTATCCTTTGATCTAGGACCTTGAGACCATGCTCGGACAAGTTTAACTTGTGGTATTCTAGGTAACTGATTCAGATGATGTATTTTTGCTGTAGGACTTGCATCTTGATGACAGGTAACAGCCATTTTCTCAGACTTTGGAATATCAACATAATTTTCAAAATGTTGTAAAATTGGACTATATAATTGCTTGAAGTATGTCAGCTGAGGTAGAACAATGTTATTAACTTTTTCTTTATTCTCTCCAAAAGTCATTCGAAAATCACCGTTGTAGGATAAACCAGCAATTTTTTTATAAAAGTCAACTTCCGTAAAATGCTGTGGAAGTAATAATAATGCTGCATGTACAGCTGAATGTAAATTTTGTACGAGAGCTGTAGGTAATTGAGAATATTCATTTGGTTCCACGAGTATTTTAACTGGCTTATGTAACCTTCCTGCTAAATATATATCGGTCCAATCTAACAGATCTTCTATTAGTGAAATTTCAGAAATTACACCATATTTGACAATATATCCTTCTGACATTTGAACTAATGTATTATAATATATTTTAGCACCCCATTTTTCTTGTACATTAGTAATTGCTTTATGTCCAAAAAATCTCAATGGTTGAGCGTAATGTTTAGGATTAAGTTTCAAATTTTCAGCATGCCATTGATTTACATTGCGAACAACAAATATAAGATCCACCATATTGTTAGACTGATTGTTTAATTGTTTGAATGCAGCAGATCCATATGCAAAGCAAAACTTTATGTTTCTTGGGAAATTTTTAAGTAATTCTTTCAATTGATGAACTCCTACTACCTTTTCCATTGTACAGAAATATTAACAATACAATCAAGTTCTGTATAAAAGCACTCAATAGCTTTAATTCTGCATAATACTTCTTTATCCTTAAATATTAGACTAAAAATTGTAATGCAATCATTACAGATGTTTCCTCT